GCTAGTTGTTATAATGCCAGGTAAAATTTCTGGATTACATTCCCCTGTTAATTGGGATGGCAGTGATGGACGGTCACGCACAGCAGGTCACAGCGCGCATCAGCCGGCCAGACAGAACATTGCAGCTGCTTGGATTAAAAAGATTGCTACAGGCGTTTTGTTGAAGGTCTTGCTGCGCTACATGAGCCATTTTCCCAATGGTCGGATATTTTAAAGATTATTTGGTTGTGAAGACATATTATCACGCATAGACTTGGTTGAAAAAACGGATAATTTAGATTGTTTAGTAGCCATTTGGTGCGAGGGACTACAGTACTATAACTTTATCGAATAACACTGGAAGGGAAGTGCATATAGTAACGCCAATGCCTTCTCCTTCAAGTGTCTGGAAATACTATTATTCTAAATGGATCTTCTTAATACTAGAGTGTAACTACGCAAAGTGCTGGTCCCACTTTGGCTCCGGTATTATAGAGGTTCTCCACGTCTTCATACAAACCAGCAGTAGGAACAAAGTGGTCATACCTATTGGACAAAAGTAAACGCAAATGTCTCTAGAGGGTGAGATCTTACTTCACAAAGGCCAGATCAGAGCATCTAGACACTTAATAGCTTTGGGCTCATTAGTACGCATATCCCTAAAGACTTTCACTAATAATTAGGGCAGACAGGCGAAAGGAAAGTGTTAGACGTCTTTCGAGAAAGGTGCCAGTCGTCTTCAGTTATCAATAAAATTAGTGTTCTCCATTGGTTGTACATTACCTGAAAAATCTTTAAAAGACCTCAGCCCATAGCGATTGAGTCTCTTTGACCCATACGAAAAGGACCTCCAGAGGAGAGATAGTAGGAATTGATACCGTTGGTTCCTCACCTATCACCTTGAGTAAACTGTTTTACGCTTGTAATAAAGTATCACCTAAAGGAATTTATTGAGGTCGAAAGGCTGAACACCCAAGATGCTAAAATGATTCCTTTCATGACTCCTAGTCAGCAAATTTGACAACAGGGAGTCCTAGTAATTTTGCTTTACCTATGAAGGTGCTAACTTTGAGAGTCCAGCTTCTGTAAAACAGTGCGAAAATTGTGGGATCTTAAAGATACGTGCAACAACTGGTAGTTTACTTTTATCGGGTCTTTGATTTACAGGATTGGGATTTATGAGTGGATCGGTTTCACCTTGCAAATAGAGCTAAAGCTAATGAATCCACCTGTGTTTCACCTTAAAAGTGAGGTATCAGCCGATTTTTTTAACCATTCCACTTGTGTATTTTGGGCGACATTGACCAAATCACAAATAAATTAGTTATCTTATATTGAACAACCCTCATTCACGAGCAATCGAGGTGCCTTTAGAGATACTCCATCAATTAGATGCGAGGATGGGGCTTACATGTTAACGAAAGAAGGAAATCCACAGAAAAAAGAAACGGTACTCAAAGGTAGTGCCGAAAATGATGTTCAAATCAAATAGTTGTATTCGACGACACACCGAACAATACCATCGCGTTCCGCTGACCAGGTGACTGGGACAACGGCGTCAACCCTCAAAGGGATTACGAATTCTAATTCACCAAAAACTTTTGACACCTGCGTAATTCCTTTTGTGAATTATGCATTATGTCTTCTACAGACCATCCTTCTTGATTAGAAGGCTCTACGACAGTTGTTGATGGGAGAAATGGAGAAATACATGCTGTTTTGTTCCTTTGCCAATTATTTACAAAGGGCAGGATTAAATTTCTCAAATTACTGATAGATAAATAAGTTTGAAAATTTCTTCACAACCGCTTATGAGCTGGGAACGCTGAGTTTTGGGAGGCTATCTACAGTGGCCATTTGTCCATTCAAAAAAAGGAAATCAAAAAGTTTCTTTCTTAGCTTCTAATTTGCTCCAAAGGACTGTCACGCAAATCCCCTTCCCCATCGTTAGAAATATCCATTCCTATGTTTACAGAAAAAGAGTGGGAAATTAATCTGATTTTGGCAGTGCAAATATTTTGCGGCTTTATCGAAAAATAAAGCCCTTGTTGAATACCCAAGTAGATAATATTCTGACTCTGGTAAGCTTCATCCATTTGCCACAACAACCATAATCGAATAAAGCCAAAGGTTTTTTAATTCATCCTTATTCAAATTAATTAGTTGGGGATAAACTTTGTAAAGCTTTGCAATATAATGAAGTTGTGCAGTACTGCAGCTCTCCGGGTCTTTACTAAAGAACAGAGAAGTCATGATATTAGGGCAGAATATGTATTGCCAATGCACAAAAGGGTTGGGGGCCTATTGGCATGACCCATAAGCCAGGCAGCCCGGTAGTGTTATAATGCCCGAGCCTCAAGTGGCATTGAAACCAAAACGAAGAGTTAAACAATCAAAACCTTACGCAGCTTCCTTCTCCACTTTTGAGTTTCTTCTCCACCGCTCCCCCTAGTCAATCTGCCGCGTCGGCTATCACAACGTAGTCGGTGCTGTAAGTAAAACACTTACTTTTCAACCGTTCCAGTCATCGAATCTGGGTGCAGCTGAGAGAATGTTTGATGCCAGAGTTACTAAGCCCTCTTGACATTGCTACTGAACCTTAGCTTTTGCCCTGTCGGGAAACTGTTTTAGAGGGAAGGACATCATGTATATCCGTTGTTAGTATTAAAACGCTGACCTAAAAGTAGAGTCATTCGCTAACGGAAGGGACTCAGAGTAGTTTAGTTGGAATAAGGTTTCGCGTCTATTCTCCATTGTCACCTGGTTCTCACTTCTGTGCTGTCCACCCAAATCGACCTGCGTTCTACTTAGCTAGTAGAGAGGTGGAGGAGGTATCGCGTGTTTAACTGATTGATAGCCTTATACAGGTACGGCAGATAGCTGTGCAAAAAAGTTCTTTAGATAAATTATGGTTAGTGCCACTTCAGATGTTAGTAGCTGTCTTGCAGAACACGACGTCAGGGCAGTTTCTGCTAGTAGACGCCATTTTCAGCTTTTCTGTTAGAGGGAACGTCACGGATTCCGCTGTGTGCAACACATGCCCTACTTCCGCCACGTTAAGGTTTAGCATTCAGTAATGGAAACCTTTGTCCATTAATGTAGCCCCGAGATTTCCCTGAAGTTGAAAAAATCGCAATACTAGGGTAGAATGTATATTACCATTGTACAGAAGGGCTGGGGGTTACAGGCATGGCCTAGAGGCATGCATTTTAGCGGAGCCTTAAGTGTCCTTTTAACCAAAATGGAGAGTTCAGGAAAGTATCAAAGTATTACAGTGCTTTGGTTTTCCGTTTAATTGTAAGTTTAACTACACAGGTACTCCCTCAACCTCTACAAGTTTTACCTTCGGCCTGCGGCACGAACTTCAGGTCAAGGTAGTAGTCTCCCAGCCCTTCTGTACATTGGTAATGCATAATCTTCCATGCTGCTTCGAGTTATTACGACTTCAGCAAAGATGCCACAGTTGTTGCATTTTATTCCTTGTTCGTAGGATCGAAAGCACCGGGAGAGTTGGATTATTCGCCTAGTAGCAGACGCTGTTTTTCCAAGCATCACTTCTGTTTGCACTAATTTTCGTGTACTTCGTGTTTTTCGATAACCTCTTATGGTATTTCTTACCGAATTTAGCAAAGCAGCTAAAGCATTTTAAAACGAAGAATCCATAAGAAATAATTGCAAAATTTACACTAAGCAAGCCCTTGATCTCACGTTTGTCTGAGTCCTTAGAGGCCAAGCAAGAAATGTCCAGTTTTAAACATTCTATGGAATTATTTTGTTTTTACTATTTATGTTGAAATTATATTTTATCAATGTTTTCAGCATTAAAGCAAAATTATTGCCCTCTGTTTCTAGGTGAATCAAATTTTATTTTCAGCCATGACTTTATTCATTCAGAATTTGGTTGCTCCCATTAGCACGTCCCTTTCCATCTTCACACATGCAACTACAAAAGTATGTGCCACACGTTCTTTACCAGTCCACAACATCTGGCTACTTGGTGTGAGAATACCGACCTTCGCTACTTCTTGAGCTGATCGACAAAGTTGGTAGCGACCGCTGTCACATTGGAACACTAAAGAATGTTGGAGCGTGAAACGAGCTATTATGACATCACGGTACCTGCCTTTCATCTTTGGCAACACCGCCAACGTGGCTTAGAGGCGACAGCAGTTTTGCAGCTGAATGCAGCAAAAGTCTTTGGTATGTGCCGCTAATTAACATTCGCATAGGTGGTGCCGTCGGGCCTCTGTGTGCTTCCAATTTGAATGAACCTGCTTCTCTAATGACAGTGGTTACGAATTTTATGGCAACGAACCAAATAAAGTGGAGTGCTTTTGGGGGAAAATTTTCTTTTACACGACCACAATTTGCTTCTAGGTTTAAAGAAAAGGATGAAGCGTAGGTAATACGGCTATTGTTTCGTGGACAACTTGTTGGATTTCGAAGAACCATTGTATAGGATTGCAAGGCAAATTCGTAGTTGTCAAAACAACCAAACAGGACGAACAAGCCCTGGAAATAAGGAGTTTTACTGGCTATTTAAAAGTATGTTTTATTAGGCCAAATATGGGATCAAGGATTAATTTTCTTCTGAAAGCTAAATAAAAAGCTTATTGAATGCTGCGCATCCCATTGTGGGTCGGATTACTGAGAAATCAGCAAATTTCGGTCCTTTTCGTTCAAAGGCGCGTAAATATGGTGAATATGAATTTTATGCCGCACTGAAATTCAGCGACTGCTTTGACAACTTGGAGCAAGACGTTTATACTTGGTCATCGTGACCACACGCGAGATGCTTCCAATAGCTCAAAATGCATTCTCACTAAAAAATGCAATTCCCCTGTTTTGGACCTCAGATTTGTCATACCTTCCGCATTTGTGGATGTCTTCATTAAAAGCAATATGCAATGCATGATTTTGACGCGACCTCAGTTCCTGGATCTTACTTTTCCCATCGATATATTCTTACTATTTATACAGAACAGCGAGTTTACTCCCTTTTGCTGATTTCTACTTCCACGTCAACGGCACGAAGAATCCCAGTCCTTCTGCATAAAAACCCATATTTTGGCGGCAAGTCGTGCTCTAGACAAAAAATTATCTGGTGATATTTGGCTCTGGATATCATAAAAAAACAATCAGCTTTAAGTAAATGGGTGATGCATGGCTCCCACGCCGTTTTTATTATCAATGTTTCCCCTTGACACAAGTGAAGTGTAATTGGGGGTCTGGATGAGTTAGCCAGGATGGGGGTTAAGGACGTCGTAATGTTAACAATTGGTACATCGAAAAATAGCGATCCTGTCATGATAAACTAGTAAAGTCTAAGACCGCAAAAACAAGGCCGGAAAACAAAAATTTTAGTGGTCTGGTGCATTTCCTGATGTTTCATAATGTCTGCAACACCTTTTGCGTTACAGCTAGAAAGGAAGGGATGGCTATCAAAGAGAAGCAGTAAAAAGAGGACTTGACCACTTCCATTGAATGAGAAAGACATAAAATTAGGCGAAGTGTCTGCTTTTACCTACAGGCTAGCGGTGGTCGTGCAATTAATTCACCTTTATTTGCACGACTTCATATTTGTGTGCTACCAACCTAACTGCAGAGCAAGATGCAAGACCGATTATTTGTGTAAAGTGCTCTATCCGAATTCCTAAATTAGCATTTATCCACACACCTACTAGCACTGAAATTTTATGTGGAAATTTTACTATTTATGATTTAAGTAAACTTTTAATGTGGCGTGTGTTTTGTATGACCTTCTTGAGCGAGGCCATCGCCAACGCGCAAATTCGGTCCGCCTGCCTCCGCGCCTCTCTTGCCTGACCGATAAGAAAAGGCCGCGTTAGGGGCTGGCAGGATCTATCTTGCTCTTGATCACCTACTGACCCTAGGTAGTGGCAGGGTGGGCTTGAGAATGACTCATACACAGCCAGTGGGTCCAGAGGATGACGCTTTATTTCGAGGCTCCGACTCCTTCCTGTTGTAATCGGACCTCACCGAGGTTTCGACACTGGTGTCAGTGAAACGACAGTCGACATTATGCATCATTTGTGCGTAATTCGAGTATAAGAAATCACAAAGCATAGACCATTCTAATTCACCAGGGAAATAAAATTTCGGTTCAACCTTTGGTGGAGGATTTAAATGCTAGACCGGGCCTAACAGTCCACCTCATGCCTATTTGATTCTTGAGTAAAGGGAGTTTTCGCTTCAATATTTACAAGGTAGGAATAACGACTCAAGGTCTTTCTAAGGCAGAATTTATAAATTTATCTTCTAAAATAATAAGAAGCGACATCTAGTAGGCGAGTAACTGGAAACTGAGGTATCAGATGAGGCAGGGGTTAGTACCAAAGTCATATTGGCGGCAAAATTCTCAAGCCACTATCCATTTTGCTCAACAATTCACATGCAGTTACATCTCATTATCGAGCAGTCTATAACCCCCGAAACTCTTTATTTGTGTAGTTCTATTCTTCATCGATGAATTTTAACAATTCGGGACCAAATCTAAGGCTGTGAGGACATTTACAAGTTGCTACACATCTGCACTTCAAGGGGTCGACTGGACTCCTCTAAACTGAGCTCGACGTCCTTTTTGAGATCATTTTTCTTAGCAAGACGCCTGGTCCTCCCCGCAACCTGTTTACATAGGGACTTTTCCATCAGTCGTTACCCCTTGAAGTATCTCCGACTTGTCATAGGCCAAATGCTACACACTCGCAGGTTAACGGTTCAATCCTTATCACGATGCTTTTCTGTTGGGAGAATCAAATAGCCAGTTAATCAACACACGATACCGTTGTAGGCTTCTCAGCTAGTGCGTTAGCAATATCTGACATAAACATTTTCACTGACCCTTGGCTAAATTTGCACAACTGTTTGTTTAAGGCGTAAATTAAAAAATTCACAGACATTCCTAAATTTTGCGATACTTCATAGGTCTGTCAAAACGGCTGAAACGCTTCACTCCATTTAAGTGCGAAGACAAACTTTAGGAAAGGCGAATTTAGCGTCCATTGCCTTAAATCATCTGCTTCATAGTGAAGTGCTTGAGATGTAGCTTTCTAAAATAATTGACACCCTGAAAATGGTGCTGGAGCTAATTCTTCGACGCTACAACCATGTCAATGTAGAAAAAGTTGAAACCCGTTATGCTAAAAACGAGTCATTTTTTGTTTCAAAAGTTGTCTTGTTGGGTAACTTTCCAGAATTTAGGATAGCCTTAAAGTAAACAGACGTATAATTGTAAATGTTAATAAAGAATAGGAAAAATAGAAATGCTGAGGTAATTAAGCTGCAGGATGGTTAAACCTTAGGGGTAATATCATGCAATACATCATTTTGAAGTTAGGCTATCCGCGTCCCTATACTTCATTTGTTATGATCCTGGGATTACAAGCCGTTATTTTTAACTGGCGCCAAATTTTCGCTAAGAAATAGTATTGGAAATTCTTAGAATCACTCTGGTACCCCTTACCTACTTTACAGAAATCAGTAAAAAGTTTGATCGGCATCGATAAAATTAGACTTGTGATAACGTTTCAAGGAACAAATTTGAAATTCCATTTTGGAAAATATCTCAGAACTGAAGCATGAGTTATGCCGTCCTTAAAAAAATTACTGATCCAAATTTTTGTGGGTCCTTCATTATCGACTACTTAAGCAACGAATTAAAGGCTCTGTTTTTTAAATACTTTGCATTCAAGTAATAGACCTGGAAAGGGGTCTGCACTGAGTAAATTCCAATAAGAGCAAGTAATCGCGTTCATCGGCTCGCAATGCCAGTCGGAAAAAACCCTGAAGAGGTGAAAAGTTCTTCGGCACTTCCCTTTCGTAGCACTTTCCCATAGATATTCTAGTTTTTAGTATTACAAAGAAGAACCATTTCAAATTCATGCAAAGAAAAGGCACTTAACTCTTTCCTGCACCTGGCCTTTAACCACCATCCACAACTCAAGGGACTTAAAATTATGCCAACAACGAGGTAATGGGTAATTCTTGCGTTAAGCGGTGGAAGATGCGAAGGCTGGAGACTTTGCTGCGAACGATCGACTGTACATGGTCGGGATAAAGGCGAAATGCAGTGTGCTGGTTTGAGAGACTAAGTAAATACTTGATGTGACTTCTTCTACATGCAAGGCAATTACTACTTCATACCCACTCTGCATAGATAAATCCGTGTACTGTTATTCGACTTACATAAAATGTGAGCCTATTAGTGCGTAAACGAGGTTGAGGCACCGGAAGGAAAATACTGGTTGTGCATCCAATCCTTACCAATTTGAAAGGTGCAACATCAGCTTGTCACAGTCTTGGCAATTGCTTTTTTTCCGGAAATGCTAGTTTCTATGTCAAACCACCAGTGAATTCTGGTACATCATTGCAACCTCTCCACTTTTAAGGTCGCGAGAATCCTCGCTCATGCAATCTTTGGCTGCTGTCTAAGTACAAATTTTGAATAAGTGCTCTGGATTGTTTTTCAGAAATGTACTTTTATTCTTATTTGTTGTAGCACTGACATTTAAAAAGGCAAGCTGACACATTGGCAGAAAAATATCAAACTTCCCTGCAACAATGCGCCAAAGGCAGTCTTCACTAACCGCAAGAAAGTTTTTGCTGCAGATTGAATGCATTTATCGACTTAGCAAACGATGCATGTTCGTTGAGAATGCGGAAGTGAAGGACTTAAAGTCGATCTCTGCTAATACATATCCCTGATGGTCAAAGGTCACCAAGAAAAGCCTGCCATCGCAGATGCCGCCAGCGGGAAATCAAATCCAATGAGCTGAAGTATAAATGTTCTGCTTACAGTGAAATCACCAAATCCATTTCGCTAAAGATTGGTATTTGTTTCAGGTTTTGCTTTTAAGAATGCGATTCTCAAATCTACGAAGACATGCAGAATGGATTACGATGCACAGATTTACTTTTGAAAGATTCAAATTGAAAGACGTTGGCTCATTTTCAGATGACGTACTCCATAATTCTTCGCCTCTATATACCATCACTAATTATGGGGAGAGGTATCAGTCTAAGCCAAGAAAACCTTCCACGATACTTATAAGTGCCTTTTCAAATTGAGACATCCTTCCTTTAACCAGTCAGAAAGACTATAGAATGTTAGATTGTGAACCAGAAGAATTGATGGTGACTGTTCCATTTAAAAGCCTTGAGTTTGTCAATTTGGAGCCCGAATTCGTCTCCTGAATTAGTCTAAACCCGTGCTGTTTGAGTCCGAACTCGAGCATTTTGAGTACTAGGCACCCATCACGGATTGGGTTATCTTCACTCCCGCCTAAGAAGAGACTTTTGTCGGGCAAAGTGAAACAATGGAACGGACATTGGGTGAAAGTCCCCCAATTTGTGAAAGTAATCCTGGAAAGTTCCGATTTAATTGTTAATTTACTATTTACTCATGCAGTGGTACGTGTAGGCAAACATGTTGATTTTTCACGAGGCAAACATTACCTTTATTCGCCAATCGCTTCATTCCTCATTCACGCACTCCTGTTAATTTTTTTGGACTAAATCAAACTTCTTTGCCCAATCGAGAGCACCTATTCACGAAGTGAAGTCTGTTTATTTATTACGTGGGAATAGTTATGATGCCGCCGACTCGGTAAACATATTACCTAAGTAAATCAGTAGGCAGGATAAAACAAAACAATAAGTTGGTGGCAAATTATTATTGCTGAAAACATCCCGTAGTCGATTTAAAACATGACCTCTGTGTTCGAAGGAACTACTTGTATCATTAACTGAGGATTATTTCGTTATTAGTGAAATGTATTAAATTAGCGGAATTGCCAGAGGTGGAATTTTTACCAAGTATGGCTTCTGATAAACACGTTTAGCCATCCAAGGTGTAAAGGCGTTCCACCAAAGGACGAATGAAGGCAGCAGCGGGCGTACTGTGGCGTCTATGGGACACAGTATAATGGGTCTGGGATTTCACCCTTCCATCCCCAGCTTCACAACCTTGGAACGAGCAGGTCGGTTGGAGAAGTACATCTTTGACTAGATAAGCATCTTAGAAGTGTACAGGGAATCGAAGTTACATGCGTTCGGAGTTCGACTCCTCCTCGAAGTCCAATGGCGTCTGCTCAGTTACAAGGTTTTACCTGCACTGACAGATTCTCACCTTTAAGGGTACAGTCAAAACTGTGTCAGTTAGACCCTTGTGGGGTGGATTTTGAATGAAAGAGCCATGTTAGAGCTCTTTGGCGTTACAAATTTTCACAGATGGAGGGAGATGGTAATGAAATCGATGAAGCATTTCTCCTTTTCAGTCCTTCTCCACGTCGGGATTTGTTATAAACTGAGCAGCTACTGGTTATGAATTGGAGTCTCTGTGATCGTATGGCCTGGATCCCATTGAGCGCCCAACCGACTAATGGTTGCATTAAATCATCCGACGGACTATCTTATTTGCCGACGTGTGCGAGTAAGCGAAAGGGGTTATTGAGAGCACACGTGCCTGACCGCAGGCTAGTGAGGTTGTCAAGGCCTGAGTTCAAGTCTGTGTGAAACGGGCACGTCACTTACGCGTAATTGTAGCAGTTGCTTAGCTTTAGAATTGTAGGGGTTATCACTAGACTTTCAGCACGTCTCTGCATGATTTGAGCCAATCAGGATGGAAGGCTAAGCGAAGGCACAACTTTCAACAATGTTCAGAGATTAACTACGATTTGGAACCTCTAAAAAATCGAACAGAAACGGATCCCTAGGGCTGCAGGCATTTTTTAATTCTCATGGTCAGTTTTGTCTATTTGATGCGAGGCCTCTTTATTCTGGGGGTGCATGAGCAGTACAAACCAAATGTCGCTAGCAAAGTCGAGCACAGTCGCACTCTTCACGCCACTACACCGCATTTTAACAGTTCCGCTGTCATTTAAGGGAGGGTTCCCACAAAGGGGATAAGGAAACGAACACTTTCATTAGTTTTCTTTTTTACCCTGACACCTGTATGCTTAAAAATAAGCAACTTTGAGGCTTATTTATTGCGATCGTCGGGCTGACGCCATTACTCAAGCCCATAGAAAGTTAATAAAAATCGCTTATAGGTGCAGAGTCATGCAAACTCGTACCCAAAACTCTCCAATGTATCTGACTTTCAACATGCTAGAAGTTACTCAAATGAGGAACAAATTAATGTGATAGTATATTACATGATGCAGAAAAAGGGGTTCCCTGTATTCTAATGAATAAGGTTGTCTTGACAAATGTTAGATCCTGATTTTTATCACCACAGATGATTCTGAGACAGAACACGAGCATTCATTACTCTGCGCTTTCCTATCAATTCCCAGTCCATTTATTAAAGCTGAGTAAAGATTAATAATCCGCATTTTTTCCTGTGGCTTTTGCAACAGATCAATGTATTTCGAAATTATTAAGACAAATTATTTTGCATATCAAAATGCTTATAGTGTGTAGAGTGGCCTGCAAATGACCAGCAATTGTTCACGACTGAGACTCTAGCTAATCCATGTTGTCAGACAACCGATAAGCTTTAACCTCACCTCAAAAGGGCACTGTTTCTCTGTTTGTTTTGACTGAAGAAAGGCGATGGTAAGTCGGCCGACTTTTTGGAATTCATGCCTTCATGCATGTGACTTAAATTGCCATATTTTATGATGCGAGAATAAGTTTTTTGCTCTTTAAGTTGTTTTCGTCTAAACATTGCATTCGAGACGCTAACAGCTACGACCAAGAGGGCGAATTACTATGTTGTACTAGCCTTTGATAATCCTTGAGCATTACTATACTATACTACTTTCTTTCTTGTAGTTACAACTACGAGGGTACCATGTCCATTACTAATTCATTCATTCATTTCTTTTTCCAATCTACCAATCAGTCAGTCGAATGTAAATTGGTTCCGCAAATAATTTCCCATTTTCCGATGCATTGATGGGTATGTATGCTGCCTCTGGGCCCCGCCGAACCAGCATAACCTTTTGAACTTCATCTCCCTCCCAACCATCTCGGCATATTTAGGCACCAAGGGATTCCCATGACATTCCCACAGTAGAAATCCGTCTTTTTCGACTGAATAAGATTTCAAATTTCCTGTTTTGATGCAGTATCATACAAATAGAATTTGGCCAAATTTTATTCTAATTACTAAAATCACTACGTTTCAAACCCGTCCAGAGCAGTCTTCATCTGGAAGATAAGATCACTGAATGGAGCGGTCTCTGATTCGACTGAACTGCTTTTCGATGTCGCCTTTCGTCTGGTGTGGTTGTCAATGGGACCCTGGTCTATTAGCCATTAACCGGCTTTGTGACTAGCTTGAATAAGATAAACCAGACCCATCATCTCGATATAATGGCCTCATTGTGCAGTGTTTATGATGATCGCAAATAATCGTCACATTTATTTAGTAAAAGATTGTGAGAAAAATTGGGAACGAAAAGTATTTTGTGTGCAGAAGTCGATAAATAAGTTTAAAAGTCCTCACTCCTCCATTTTAATGATTTTTTAACATAACGCAATCTTTAATTCTATGATGAGTTGTTGAAACCCGATTAACCTTACCGGGTCATCTCAGCCTCCATTGTCTTGCCTTTGTAACCGCTCTTTTGGCGTTACTGTGAAAAGCAACAGATATACATGGCTGTCAGTGCAATCGACGGAATCTTGAGTACGCGAAGCAATTGTCAGGCGGCAGTATACCCTAAACCAGGCTCGATTTCCCGGAGGAGACAGTCAATTTAAAGACTGTCCTCCTTAAAGGAGATTAGAGCGTTGATGTAGACCACAGTGGTAGACCTAATTTTGCAAAACAACTGCGCCTCGAATTCGGTTACCTCTCTATCAAAATCACTGTTTAACCAATTCACATTTGTATCATCACACATTAATGACCCGCACTGGTTCGAGGGATATTTTTTCTCAAGAAACCGCTTAACGATAATCGGTTAAGAACTTCAAGTGTTTCAGTTGGCAGTGGGGAAACAGGAAGCGCGAACCACTTCCTTCATGCGATATAAGGTAAAACAAAATACCTGATCAATTAGTTTTCACAGATTTTGTAACTAACTGAAGACCGTAGTCATTAATAACTGTCCTTGGGAGAAACGAGGCCTCCCGTATGTACACCTAATCCTCAGTGATGCACAAATGTCTCCACGCGCAATTCCAGTCGCCTTGGTAGTGAACGCGGCCTAGTTCATTTCATTGTAAAAAGATTCCACTTTATCAAATGCAGCCACCGAGGTAATAAATACACAAATCTAGTCCTTTCACCCATCCATGATCACTTCTTGACATGAGGCACTGAATGCAGATTTTCTATCCCACCATTCAGTGCATGATTGATTGCAACTTTTCATCCTAGGAATTTGATTTAAATTTATTATGTGATGTATCTCGAATTAGTCAACTAGCGATCATATTATTAACCAATGTCCACTTGTTTGTCAAGATTATGTGCTGAATGATTATTTTTATTTCATTGCCGATAAGAATTTGAGCCATGACTGAGTATTTTGGTATCTCAAAGTTTGATTATTCTGTAATAAAAATATGCAATTCAACAAGAAATCTGGCTAGTTGGCTACATTCTGACATCGTCCTTTGCTACTCGAAGTTATCGGCTTAGCAGCACTTAAGCCGGAGAAGAATAGCACAAACAAGTGAGGATAGTTGTTTGTCTCATTGCTCCCCTTCTCGATCACGTTCACGACATACTTTGCTACTCGAATCGTAAGACTTATGGATGGTATCTGTTGCCAGTAAGGTTTCTGCTAGTTAAAGTTCACGAGTGGTTCCTGTAGATCATTTGGATTATTTCCAATGACATTTGCTATAAACATCCTGTCCCAAAAGGGATAAAAAAATAAACTACATTTTTTCATTTCGTCACTTACTTATTTCCCTCCAAGTGGGTTCGAATGACTTTTTAGTTTGAACCGTGCATGTATACACTGCTTCACTGGATGACTGTCTGAATTTCACCGCACAAATTGTGTACGTGGAAGGCGTTTAAAATATTTGAGTAGTACGTACTTTGTGTTAAAATGAAACGTTTAAGCCATTCAAATGCCTTTCTTCTGAAAGGGTATGTTTTGGTCCCCGTGGATTTTACACCTCAATAGCCTCGTTCATCACCGCAGCCTGTTATCTTCCGCCTTGATTGCCTCAGCCCTACAGTATGTAGTACTAACGTGTAGAGCTCCCTTTACTCACACACACGTGTCTAACCTATAGTTTCATTTCGGCAAGAACACTATTTAAGAAATATGGAATGTTTTTATTTTTTTTAATAATTAAATCCATGCTACATATTGACAAGTATGCTTGCCGTTTACATAACCCCTTTAAGCTTTGGACGCAGGCTCAGGGAGCCCCGTCACATGATCGAATGCTTTGGTAAGTAAAATGACTCCTCTCGTGGTCAGGGGCATCGCCTTCAAAAGTGGGCAGATAAGGGTTTTTGAAAACAGCTTACAATTCATAAATGTTTATATGAGAACTGCACGTTCAACCTACGTTCAGATAAAATTGTGGCGGCCTCCTATTGCATGCCTAGCACTTGAAAAGCGAATTTAAGACCTAGGAATCGCGGAAGTGACCTCTAGCAAGATGTTTCAGATAGTCGTTGTCTTAGTTCGGATTAATAGTTCGTTTGATGGATAAACAAACCTATCATCTTTCAGCCTATTATTTGAAGGGACACTAAAGTAAATTGATCGAGTTGGTTGTCAGCATATTAAAGTTAGCAAATCTTCACACCTCCTAAGGAGCAATACAGCGCCCTGAGTCTTCCCTGAAGTCGTAAGAAGCTGCAGTAGTAGGGCAGAAAATATAGTACTAACGTACAGAAGGGGTAGGGGGCTATCAACATAGTCCGAAGGCCATGGTGTCTTGCAGAGGTAGGGTCGCAGAAGGCTGAGGTGCCGCACACTCAAACACAGAGTTAACCAAACTACCAAAGCATTAAGGTAGCTTAGTGAGACGGAGCCTTAGAATTGCATGCAAGTCATTTCACCCAAAAGGCAACGAACTCTTAGATAGATAAACATGCGAATCAGTAATTCCCCTTTGTTCACATGACCACCCCCATTTGGTGTAAACATTCGCCAGGTGAAACAAATGTTGCACAACCTATTGGCTTCATTTGCATGCCACAAATTCAAAAATTGAAATGCTTATATGTAACTCTTGACTGGCTGTTCGAAGTAGGTAGACAAAGAAGAAGAAGGTGCTTTCTGTGAGTTTTTCATACAATTCGCCTCTAAATTCATATGAATTGAATGAAGGAGCTAGGAGCACGTTTTTCTCTTTATGACGGGTGTTTAAGCAAGTTAGCGGGTAAGTAGGCGGTAGGGCTTCGATGCAAACGTAGATGCAGTCCATGGATTAGTGCAAAAATGTAACTGTTCACGACTGGGGATTAGCAGGAAGGATAGTGAACTGCAGTTAAGTTCTATAACCTTAAAGTAACAGACACTGCCTTATAAAAGCGGTGTAGAATTCAGTAAAACTGGAAGCTCAATGACAAATGATGACATCATATTTCACATTCAAAATTATATCGTTTGATAAAGGCATTTAATGTGAACATGAAATTGAGCGTGCAGCTTAACTTATAAGTCTACTTGAAACAAAGTGCCTTGACTTCATTCCCATTACGTCAGCAAAGGTCACGAATAAGTTTAAAAGTGAATTGTTCATCATCCAGACCATACCACATTTCTTAAAAGTGAGTGAAAGCATGATATTGACCGAATAAAACTCACCTAGATATCGGAAAAGGCGAGTCTTTAAAAAGGCAAAGCAGTACAATTCTAAATAATAGCCAACCGTGCTATTATTCTGCTTCTTTTCGGCAAAAAAGTGACAGCACTCGCTTCCAGAAATGTTTGAATAATAGCTACAGATGAGACGAAAGTTTGCTTCACCCTTCACATGCTCGACTGCAAACGTGACAGGAACTTCGATGCTCCGCCCGTACCGAGCCCGCTTAAGTAGAGTAAAATAAACGACGTTACACGACATCTGCGATTGTCAAACCTACTACCACATAATGTAACCTGAAGGAATGCGCTTACTTTGGCAAGGGTTGTAGTTAACCTTAGCTGTGACCCAAAGCTATAACGTTGAGAAACCGAAAAATACAAAGCAACTAGCATTAAATTCCCGTCTGCAAGCAGTTCCAGAGTTTGCTTACTTGGGAACATGTGAACAATCACACATGTAATCGTCACGATAAGGTTGGGAAGCATGTTTGTGAATTATTACATAAAAACAGGATTGTCTGCAAGCAGAGGGGAAGAAATATTGGAGGTTTAGATCAGAGGATAGGAAGCTGCCGTAGCAACACCGCACATATTACCGGCCCGCTTGATACGAACATATCCATGCTCACCCCAGTCTGTGCCCCAGCTGTTCTTAATCAACCAATAAGGGATACCGTTCTGTTCACCGTAGCCCACCAACAAAACACCATGATTGAGGTCTTCCACACCTCCCTTACACTTTGGATCGTCGTAGATGCCTACACAGGAAAGGAAAGGTAAAATTCACAAGAATAACGGACCAAATGCATAGCAGAAAAAAAGGTACCCTCATGGTACATCATGAACGAGGTAAGTCCTGCATTGATGGCGACGGAGATGGGTCCGTTGAAGGCAAGAGCTTCCATTAACTCCTCATCATTTCCAGACATTACGTCCACTAGACCGGTCACCTTGGCAACTGAGATATTGGCCTTGAAAGAGCAGTTGTCGGGTTTTTCGGTGACACCTGAGACGTAGGGGTAGTCCTCCTCGCGATCCACACCACCCGCCTCCTTCACATAGTTGAAGGCATTATCCATGAGACCACCGTTACAACCCATGTTCCCAAAGCTTGAGCTACAATCCACCAGCTGCTGCTCTGACAGGCTTACAAGATTTCCGGATGCACGTTGGTACTGACCTTCAATCGCACCAATAGCCGAAAATGCCCAGCAGGAGCCACAATGACCTTGGTCTTTCACCCCTGTTACGCGCCTAAAAGACAAGGTATCAGCACGACATCAACGACTACATAAAATGATTAATATTACTTCTCCAATAAGATTGGTTACTCACCCCTTTAGACGCCAATCAACGTGTTTAGGCAGTGGGGCGTACCTAGTCAGCTTTCGATAGACGTGACGAGGGATGGTTAGATTCAGCTTGTCAACGCTAGGACGATAGCCAAGATATTTCCTGTATTGAGAGGGACTCTAATGAACCATGAAATCTGCTGTGACCGCTTACCAATGCGGAGAACTTGTTGATACCCATGGAGAATGAGGAGGGTTTCACCAGGTGTTCCCATATTTTAACAACGTTTGACTCAAAGTTTTGAAAAGAGAGAAAACTAGGGACGTGTTTATATTCCCTGAGAAACATCTGCCATAGGTACTTGAGAGTCATCGCTTTATCATGGGACAAATTTTCAACGGGAGAGTAAAGCTGACTCCATTCAATGATGTTGGGACGAGCCAAACACAGGCCAATAAACAGCGTGACAGGTAAAAGCAATCGCATTATGAGGAAAGCCTAAATTGGGAAATTAAAAGCAATGGTAAAGGCGACAAGCAAGACGTAAAAAGTGGGAAAGTCGGTTAATAATGGGACTTTCCCCACACAAGTTGGTATTTTTTTGAATCCAAGTGGTAAAGTACTAGAATATATGGATGAAGTGGAATCTGGTAGAAACTAATCGGCAAATATTCCCTACGAGATGAAGTCAAGCGGCAAGAAAACTAATCGGACATTTGATTAACTGAAGCGGCATTTTGATGCACTTAAAATACAAACAGGAGCCTACTGGAGGGTTAAACAGGACAAGCAGGCGAAGTCGCACGGAAGAACGGGGGGCAAATCAGCAGTTAGACCTTGAACTCGATGAATTTGGTTCAGTTAAAAAATTCTTATACGGCAAATTAAATTAATTCTTTAAATCGAAGCTGTAGAAAGGAGATGGAGTAAGATTTGACTGATAGATCATAATTCGTTTGGCGAATGATCACTAATAACAAACTGCATAAAAAGAGTAGGTATGCTATAACTTAGTACAACCCACAAATAAATACGACTGTAGCACGGCACAATTATTATCAACTTCTACAAATGTACACCAAATTATTAGTGATACAAGTTAAGGGGAAGGAAAGCTGGTAAATTAATTGCCAAACATACGAGGAGAGCATTTTCAAAGGCAATTTAGATTAGTACTTGTTACTTATATACGGCTACTGCCTTGAATGAGGCGGACTTTAATGCACATAATTTTAATGCTCACTTCGCACATATGATGGCTGGCCATCCGATTAATGAGTAGCATCACCATCCTTTATAATCTACAGTTTAAGTCTACCATCCTTTAGAATCTAGCAAATAAGTAGTTCCACTTTTCATTGGTTGAGTTCCTCATTTATCATTACCAAATGGAGTCGTGGCTTTCCTGTTTAGCCTGTGCACAGTGACGGCTTTGGTTTTGTGTCAAGCTGTAGGGCTAGTTCGCATCTTTATAAAACATGGCTTCAATTTTGGAGTCCTACGAGAAGCAGTATGGAAATCTGACAAGTGAAATTACGGCGAAGCTCAACAATATTTCTAGGCTTGCTAATGGTAAAATCTCCTTTCGAAGCTTGTTGACTCAGCCTTTTGAAACTTTTTTGTTTGGGTGGTTCTGTTTTAAACGTATTTTTTGAAGGTATTATTTTTATGTTGACTGTATCATCTGACTATATCGTCCTTTCCTTATCGTGCTTTCCCTTCTATCCGATCTAGTTATTTCCTTGGAACAATGCTTACGCTTTAGTAGTAGAATCATTGGATTTAGTTTAATTTTTACTGAACACTTCTTTAAGTGCTCAATTGCTTCTTGTCTCAAAGATGAACGGAAGGCGGAGATAGCAGCAACTACCCGTTTATTCGGTGAAACTCGTGAGCTTCTTGAACAGATGGATTTGGAAATTCAGGACATGCCTGCTGATGTGAAACCTAAGTACACTACTCGGTTGCAGTGCTACGGACAGGAGCTTGGGCGCCTTGCACAAGAATTTGTAAGCACTTGTGCCATTTTTTTACCTGGAGATGTTTTATTTTTGACAGGACTTTATAATGGCCTTAGTGAACCCTTCTTCTGATATTTAAAGGTTTTTCTCCACATGCCCGTTTCTTATTTTACACCTTGTTTTTAATGCAGCGATCGCTAATTGAATAGTATTCTGCAAATTTAGGACATTACATTTTCCAAGTTCTCATACATATTATGTATTTAAGTCGCCTGATAGTTACCACTTTATTTCAGTTAGTGGTATTTTCGTTATTCGTGGAGAAAGGTTTTTACCTGTTTTCATCAGTCCTACATGCCTTCATCTTTCTTTGATGATCGTTTAAGATATTGAAGTATGTAATCTGACTTAACGATACTTTTCTTCATTGAAAAATTCAAGGTACAGTGTTTTTTGTTTGTCGAATACGTTTCGTGCATGGATACGTTTTTCCACAGATTTGATCGATTAGGAAAGTTGTTTACCTTTGATTTTGAATATCTGCCTCAACCATTTAGGTTACTTATCATTTTGCAACAAGCGTGCCTTTTCTTTTTACCTAAATACTGTCCTTTAACACTGCCTCGGTGTCCTATTTGTAGCACGAAAGACCTATCTTTTCCCCCAAAATTTAAGCGCCTTTTAGATCCCAAAACATCTCGTTAGATAAATTCAGAGAATCATTTCGATGTTTTAATGTTAACGTGTGTACAAAAAAAACACTGTGGAAACGCGTTTTTCAGTGCTATCCTTAGAGCCTCTGAATCCCATTAGTTACACAGTGACTTCGCGGTGTTAATATTATATCAGGCCATGTCGATATAGTACAGTGCAAAAGCTGCACTAATTATACGGGCTTGCTTTAAGAACAGGTAAGACAACTTTGCTTTTATTCTCAAATTTTGAGCTCTACTGTTGGTTGAACGAATGGGAACACACCAAGCCATACTGACTTGTGTTTTGTTTTGCTCTTTGACTTGCAGAAACGCCCTCGCTACAGCATGAACGCGGCCCCGAGTACTGGGCCCCTCTCCGACCACGGTGCTTTGCGCGAGGAGCTACTTAGCGGGGCTGCGACCGACTCGGGTGATATGCGCGCTAGTCTGCTGACGAATACAGAGCGCGTGGAGCGTACTGGCCGGCGCCTCAACGAAGGCCTTCGCATGGCCTATGAGACCGAGGAGATTGGGGGACAGATCCTCGATGACCTGGATCAGCAGCGCGAGACCATCCAGCGCAGCCGTGATCGCGTAGGTTTCCGCTCATTTACCTTTTTCCTCTAGCACTCACGAGAATTTGACGTTTATTTCTACTCTAGCTAAGGCATGCCAACGAAGACCTCTCACGCAGCTCCCGGTTAATCTCAAAGATGTATCGACGGTCAGTAGTCTTACGGTTAAATGACCTCACCTGATAAATTAACAGTCATTATTGCGCAAGCACACTAGGCTTTTCATCCTGTCGGAAAGATGATATTAACCGTTGTTGCATTTATCGGTTTTGTTTATCTTTTTAAATACTGTTTATTAGTCTAGCAGAAACCATTTTGTACTGAACTGGTGTCACACCTTTTACCCTCCCAAGTAAATATAATTTGAATGTGTTTATTTGTTTCAAATGAATCATTCAATGATAGTTCGTGATCCGTTCATTTTGGGTAAATTACTTATTTCACACATTCTAGTGTCCTTGTGTCGCATTCTCTTTTTTTCGTATTTATGTTTTGCGAGTTGCTGACCTTCATTTACGAGAATTAGCTACCATAATTTCTATAAAATTGCATGGTTAGGCTCATTATCAAACCATTAAATCTAAGAGCAGCGTCCAGTGTCTACCATTGGCTTATGAATATGCGTAGTTATTAGTACGAAATTGTCAGGGTCGTTCTAGGTGCACCAGAGTTCTCTTCGATGTCTGACACCAAAACTAGAATGCTTTCCGAAGTGCTTTTTCTACTGTCTTTATCAATACAAATTCATGAAAACGTATATTTTGACTAGTATGAAAACTGTTAATTATGCTTATAATCACGTGCTTCTTTTGACCATAGTGTTATCCAGAACCGGGCTGTTTTGGCTGCGATCGGGATACTAATGTGTCTCGTCTTCTTCGGCATTACCTACATAATGTTCTTCCGTGATTCAAGCAAATCCACCACCACTCCACTTCCTGATAGTCCTCTCCCCCCTGTACTTACTCCCAACAAAAATTCCTCAGGAACAGTCTAGCACTTCACACCCCACTCTCTCCCGCTTACTCTTACCTCGTGACTTTTCATCTTTGCTTGCCGGCGCAGTTGTCAATATCTGTGATCTCTGCCTCTATCTATTTGTGTGTTTGTGCACCAGACCGCTTCCATATTTTACTCCCTCTCGCTTTCACAACTTAGCATAAGTGTCGTTGTATTTGCAACAGCTTTTTCTCCTTGTTATTGTATCCTCGAATGAATGTCCTTGGGGTTAAGCACCTTGATTTCTGCTATCTTTATCTCCCGACACGGTCGGTCGTTCTTCGTTT